CACCACCACCGCCCCCGCCACCACCACCACCACCGCCACCACCACCAACAACAAACACCAACACCAAAGCCACCAATAACAACAACAACCGCAAGGACAACAACAACAAAAAACAACAACGGCAACACTACCACCACCAACAACAACAGCAACCGCAACAGCAACAGCAACGCAGCAGCAGCAGCAGCACCACCACCACCACCACCTACTACCACCGCTACAGCTACTATCGTGACCGCTACTGCTACACGTGCTACTACCGCTGCTGCTGCTGCTGCTGCTGCTGCTGCTGCTTCGGTTAATACTGATTGTCCTATTTCAGCGGCCTTAATGCTCAACCCAATGGCAGGGCCTTCTGGACGAGTTCTTGGGTGCCCTGCGACAGGAAGGGACATTGGATACCAGCCGCTTGGACATGTCTAGGATGATCAGCATCGTAAGATGGAGCTCTTGAGGCTGAGATTGCAGTTTGTTTTGTGTGATGTGTCCAGGTTGACACTGTTGACACTGTGTTTGTTTGTGCTTCTCCGGTGGCCCCGCCAGAACAATACAACAGGAGGCAACGGCGGATCAGGTCCGTGGTAACATGTACTGAATGTACACACATCCGATGTTTACATGTATACACATATGCATATGTAAACATACATATCTACGACATATATATGTATATAGACATATATATATATATATATGTATGCATATTTACCTCTATATAGTGTTGTCTCTGTGTGTATATGTTGATACACACATTTATCTATCCATCTATCGTTTTCTCTATCTATTTATCTATCTATCTATCTACCTATCTATCTATCGATCTATCTATCTGTATATCTCCTTACCTATCTATCTATCTATCTATCTATCTATCTATCTATCTCTGTATCTATCTCTCGATCTATCTGTCGATCTATCTATCTATCTATCTCTCTATCTGTCCGTCTATCTGTCTATCTGTCTATCTATGTATCTATCCATCTATCTAAGTACCTATCTATCTATCTATCTATCTATCTATCTATCTATCTATCGAAGTATCTATCTAAGTATCTATCTATCTACCTATCTATCTATCTATCTGTCTATCTAGCTATCTACCTATCCATACATGTCTCTCTACATACGTACATGCATACATACATACATACATACATACATACATACATACATACATACATCGACACATATACGCATTTACACATCTACATCTAAATATTTCATATGTTTCTGAGCAGAGATCGCACAATGCGCTTCCCATACTTGATTTCAGGTACTTGAGGTCACGCGCACACGTTTGCGATACAGTTACTCGAGCGGCTGTTTTAAAGCAGCAGGGATCTCGATCCGGGCTTGGCTGGCTTCTTACAATGTGCTCTAGCGGAACATGTTCGATTCGAGTCCCCAGTCCCATCAGTTGAACTGTGCCTGTTCTACTTTGCTTGGCTGCGTCGCAATGAATGGAATACACATTGGAAGCTGCATCGCGTTTCTGCGAATTTATGCTTTGGAGTGAAGTCTTGACAAGGTGCCACGGAACGGAAGATGCAAACATCTTCAAGGAGTTGCCATACTCATCGGTGGTGTAGTTGAATCGCCTCGGCACTTGTGTGGTCAAGACCCCATACAGAGTATAGTTTCGAGCAGTAGAAGCGATCAAACATCAGGGTCGGCATGGCCCTGCAGCATTAAGATTCAAGGCTCCAATGGCCCCATCGCTCATAATATACTATACCCTACACAAAACTATACTATATTGTACTGTACTATACTATACGAACTGTACTCTACCATACGTGCTGTACTATGTTTTGCTATACTCTATATTACTATACTATAATATGAAAGCTGCATCCTTGCCAAAGCTTTCATCCGCTCAGCTCAGGCCATGTCACGGTGGGCATTGGCGCGTTTGCTTCCGCGCGACGTTGGAGGGAAGCTGTTGATCTGCTTCTTGTATCAAGCTTAGGGTTTAGGGTTTAGGGTTTAGCACCTATTCCCTGAGGGTCCATGTGCACAAAGAGTATATACTCTGGCCCCAAAGTACCTGCATAGGGACTACTTTACGGCCAAAGTATATACTATTTGGGCACATGAGCCCTCTGGGATGGTATCCGTTGTGGTCGCTTTAAGGGAAATCAGCACTAATTATACGAAGGTAAAGGGTTTACGGTTCTCGGTTTAGGCTTTAGCATAATTGGTTTCTCTAAGATCAGATTATAACCTGTACCTGTAGAGGCCTGCAGCAAAAACCTGCAAATCCCTAAACCCTACACCCTGAAGCTTGAACCCTCAGGTTAAATGGGTTTCCAGTCTGGACACCCACCAGTTTGCCTATATAGAACCTGCCGGCACAGGGAAAGGGCTCTTGTTTAAGATGGTGCGAGGTAATCCAAGGTTATCGGCCGTGTAGCTTCAATTTGCAAGTGTGTGTCTGTGTGTGGGTATCTCCAAGAACAAGAAGAGTACGTCCTCGGCCCTATAGGTGCCCCATGAAGCTTAAACCATACTCCCTAGTTCGTAAGAGCGGACCTGAGGATGCTAGACGTTCCTCAGGGGTTTATTTGGCTTGGAATGTAGATGTTTTAATGGATTTAGGGATTGAGGGCTTTAGGGTTTAGGGATTAAGGGTGATGGGATCCAGCTAGACGCTTCCTGTCTGAGTCTCACACGCGGACCACGCAACATGGGTTCGGGACTCGATCTCCTAAACGCTAGGCCGATGATTCTGGGACTTGGGGTGTGTTGTGTTTAGGATTTAGCGTTTAGGGTTTAGGGTTTGGGGTTTAGGGTTTAGGGTTTAGGGTTTAGGGATTGTAGGTATGGGGGAGGGGGGGGTGCTTTCTCAGAGCAGTTTTTTTTTTCGGGCAAACACATAAACTAGATCCTATGCCCTGATTACCTTTGGGCTGGGATCTCCCTTGGTTTAATGAGAATCATCCTCGACTTCGCCCCAACCATCCCGAATCAACAACAAAACCCAAGGATACGAAGACATTAATGGAAACTCACTGTTTGCCAAACCCTAAACCCTAAACCCCTAAACCTCTAAACCCCTAAACCCCTAAACCCCTAAACCCCTAAACCCCTAAACCCCTAAACCCTAAACCCCTCAACCCTGAACCCTAGAACCCTAATCCCTAAACCNNCCCCCCCCCCCCCCCCCCCCCCTAAGTCTAACACCCCGAGCCACAAAGCAGCCTCCCACCAACCATTATAGTATAGTTTAATGTTTACTGTAGTATAGTAAACAATAGTAAGATATGGCAAGTACAGTGTGGTATAGTATCATTTTACTAGCGCTTGATAGCCCGTACCCCGAGCTCCCGCGCCCAACGGGTGTTTGGAAGGCCACCTCATAACGAAGACGGCCATCGCTCGGATAAAGAGGGTTTAGGATTGAGGGTATGTTTAAAGGGGTCGGGTTATAAAGCCCTAAAGCCCTNNCCTAAAGCCCTAAACCCTGAACCCAAGCCCTCAATCCCTGAACCTTAAGCCCAGGCCATACAGCCTAAAACCCTAAACATACAGCCGTAAACGCCAAACGCCCGGAACCATGGGCGGCTCCTGGTAAGGTTCCTATCTTTGGGAGACAGCCAGCTCCAGCCGGATCTTGTCAGCTACACCGTGCTTCGAACCCATTCATTTATCCCTTACCGTAGGACTCATATTTTAAGGCTTTCGGGCCCAAAGACCCTATTATGTGAGCTTTTTGGGCGATTTTGATGCTAAGGGTATGGGGGTTTAAGGGTTCAGTTCGGGAAGCAAGTCTGGGGTTTTGGGGTTTGGGAAGCACGATGGACATGAGCTTTTTATTTGCGGAGTGTTTCTACACTGTCTAGTACTGTTCAGAAGTGCCATTCGACGGATCACAGCTCATCACGCGCCTAAACCCTGGCCCATACCATCAGTCCATGATTGCGGGCCCTGGCTCTCCGCAGATTGCGGTCAACTGCCCCAGGCCACCATCAGTGCCTGTGAGAAAGTCGGTCTTTGGCCGGTTCCTTGGCCACACCAACGAATATCGGGGGCGTTACAGGGCTTCATGCTTCGATTGGATCGAGCCCCAAACTTAAACCCTAAACCCTTAAACCTGAAATCCTGAACAATGAACACAACGGCTTGGGAGTTCCAGTGCCTACCCCTGCAGTGCTCCTGAATCTCTAGTTCGGCAGCCCAGCGTTTTCGGGAACCCCCGAGCCAGTACCCGTGCTGCACTTCATAGTTTACGAGTTCATGGAAGGTCCCCAAACCCCCAGGTACCTACTATAAAACGGTACTAGAGCCCCATAGGGGCCCTATATAGTAGGTACCTGGGGGGTTAGGGTCCCCTATCGACCACATACCCATAGGCCCCATAGTAGTTCCTTTTTGGGGTTACCTTATAGGATCGTATATATGAGCCCCCAAGAAGGAACTACTTTACAGGGCCTATGGGTATCGAACAAGCCAAGATGTGGCCCCAAACGCTTCTCAGCGTCCGAGGTTGCCCTGAACCTCTTCACTGCCATGGTGGAGGGTGCCCTCAGACCGAACACGCGACTCGCCGACGGTGAGTTTTGTCGCTGGGCCTGTAGGTTTAGGGTGTAGGGTTTAGGGTTTATAGTCTCCGAAGCGCTACGACCATCGGAGAACATTCCAAAGGAACCCTGACATTGCGGCTGAGAGGTGTTCTGGAATGGTTGCTCTACAGTATGGGTTGCCATGAGGGTTGCTGTTTAGTTCTGGTCATCTTGCGCGATGTTCCTGTTTCGACCTCCGATCACATGACACAATGCTTTCTGCTTGCGTCCGTGAGCCAGCATTGCGGGAAGATGGCCTGTGTCTTTGTGTTTGGGCACATAGTCAGGGACGGTTGGAACCCTAAAGCACCAAAACTCCAAACTCTAAACCTTAAAAAAGCCCCAAAACACTAAACCCTGAAACCCCCCAAGCTCTAAACCCTGAGCCCTAAACTCTAAACCCAAATCATAAATCAGACTTCTTGAGTCGTCTACCGGACGGGTTTAGAGCTAGCGGCCACAAGAAAGAGCAGGAGGACTTTTCGTTTTGATTGGGGCTAGAGGGTTTTGGGCTGTAGGGTTTAGGGCGTAATTCCTAATATAGCGACTTTAATTTCTACTAGATAGCTACTTTGGACCCTTTGGGGCAATGAAGGCGTTTTGGAGTTTCAGAGGTTCAGAGTTTCCCTATCTTGGGTTTATGGATGTAGGGGCGCAGGCCTTGGCAGGGATTCGGCTTAGCCATGCAAAGAGATGGTCCCCTGTCAGCTGTGTGGCTTGAGAAATCATCCTAGACATGAAGCCCAAAACCCCTAAACCCCCTAAACTTTATAAGCCCAACACCCCTAAACCCCTAAACTTTATAAGCCCAAAACCCCTAAACCCCTAAACTTTATAAACCTTAAACGTCCTAAATCCTAAACCGTAAAGGTACATTAAGTCACACCCCTGGCCCCTGAAGAACAACTGCGAGACCCAACCTAATCAAGCGAGAGACACGTCAGACTGGTAGACACTGTCCACGGTTTAGGGTTTAGGGTTTAGGGGTTTAGGGTTTAGGGGTTTAGGGGTTTAGGGGTTTAGGGGTTTAGGGGTTTAGGGTTTAGGGTTTAGGGTTTAGGGTTTAGGATGGATACGACGGGGAATAAATCACGCCAGCTTCATTAGCAGCACCTCCACTCATGGTAAAGGGCACGCAATCAGCACAGTACATGTAGGAGTCATTTCAAGAGAAGGCCCAACACCCCACGACGTGGTTTTGAGATTTCCAAACCCAACCAAAACCCAAACCCTTAACCCTGAGGATAGCAAACCCTGGACTCTACCTCACCTAAACCCCAAACCCTAAACCCTAAGCCCTAAGCCTTATAAACCCTAAACCCTAAGCCCTATAAACCCTGAACCCTAAACCCCAAGCCCTAAGCCCTATAAACCCTAAACCGTAAGCCCAAAGCCTGAAACCTCGAACCTTCAACCCAAAGCTTGAAACTCTCGACCTGAAGGCCTATAAGCCCCAAACCTGGCACCTTAAAAGCTGAAACCCTCCACGCCCCGTACCCTTCAACCCTCGACCTTAAGGCCTAAACCCCAAACCTTAACCCTAAATCCTAAACCTTAAACCCTAAACCTCAAACCCTAAACCCAAAATCCTAAACCCTAAACCTTAAAATTAAACCTTACGCCTCAAACCCTAAATGCGAAATCCTAAACCCTTAAAGCCTAAAGCCCCTAAAGCCCCCTAGTCGACTTCAGGGTTTCCTACAACGGTTTAGGGTTTAGGGTTTAGGGTTTAGGGCCCCCTAGTCGGCTTCAGGGTTTCCTACAACGTCACCCTGAGCTCCTTCTCTAAAGCGGCCCGCTGGGACCTGGCGATGGAACTGTTCACCGAGCCTCGGACCATGGCCGGTTTTTAGGGGCTTTAGGGTTTATGGTTTAGGGCATGGCCGGTTTTTAGGCGGGCGGGCGGGGGGGGGGGATTTTGAGAGATCCTCGGACCCTGGCCGATTTTTAGGTGGGATTTTGAGAGGTCCTGGAATAAACCCAGGTTTTTAGGGTGGATTTTGAGAGATCCTCGGATCAGAGCAGGTTTTAGTGTGGTTGTTTTTGGAGTTTTTGGGTTTCGGGATGAGAGTTTAGGGTTTAGGGGTTATGAACGTTCAAGGGAATGTTGGGGGTATAGGGTTAAAGGTTTAGGGACTCCGGTTTAAGGCTTAGGGATTTTAGGGAGGTAGGGTTTATAGGGTTTTCGGGGTTAAAGTTTGGGCCGTATGGGAAATAAAGGCTTAAGCAATTTTGGGCTGATCTACGGTTTGGGGTTTTAGGATCTAGGGCATGTGGGTTTTGCGTTTTTCTTGAGGGCTGTATACAGGTTTGCACACGATGGTGCTTTTGTGCCTTGTTTTTGCTTCAAGATACACTATGATCAGGCTCTTAGGCAGGAAGTAGTAGATTGAAAGTAGCATTGGCGAACATGCCGACAGTACCAAGCTTGTCACGCGAAACAGGGTTCAACATCGGACAGGGAATCTACTGAAGCAACTCGTCGTCTGACATGACATAATGTGGACCCACAATGAAGCACTGATGCACACGAAACATCGGCATTCGCGGTGCAAACCGGACTGCCCTCAACATTTCAGGGCTGAGAGTGGGTGGAGGGGGGGGAGTCGTCGCATTTGCTTTGGGTTTAGAGTCTTCGAAAAGGGGTTGGGGAGTTTAGGTTGCGTCAGGCATTTGGGTCCGCAGAGATTCGGATGAGGGTTTTCTAGGTGAAATGAGCAATCGATAGGGTGCGAAGGAAGAGTTGATTGAAGATGCATTGTAGGCCCCTTCGGTGTCCACACGTTCCATTCAGTATCGGTATAAGTATCCATGCTTTGAGTATGAATTCTAGATTCTAGACCATGCAGCATAGGAATGCTCATGCACAAAGGAAATGCCTCATCGGATGGTCCTGCCGGACGTCATCAGCTATGGTGCTGCTATGAGCTGCTGTGCATCCTGACGATGGCTCGACTGTGATCTTCGGGGCTTGGGGTTTTGTTTGAGAGTTTAGGCTTTTAGGGTTTAGGGGTTTAGGGTGTAGGCTTTAGGGTTTAGGGGTTTAGGGTTTAGGCTTTAGGGTTTAGGGTTTTAGCATTTTGTGTTTGGGGTTGCAGGAGTTAGGGATATGGGTTGTTCTCTCGCATCGGGAGTAGGGCTGTGAATCATTGCGTCAGGGTCCAACCGAGGTATGCCAATCCATGGTCATACTTGATACAATAACTTATGGCCCCTCTACACCCATATTGTTTTTGGCATTCAAAACCTTATCCTGTTGTGTCACGGCCCCTGATGGCTACCACGCATGTGACATGATATTGTTTTGTGTCTGGAAGCACAGCTGTCGTGCAACGTCCTTTTTGAGGGCTCGCTGCCACTTCTGTGACTTCCCAACCAACGGCTGTATGAAGTGGAGCTTCCCTCAAGACCGGCATGATTCCTTGCAAAAGTTGTATCTTTCACATATGTATGTAACTTATATATGTGATGTCTGTTTGTCTGCCAATCTACCAATCTACATACTACATCACTGTACACTTTCTCCGGCATCCGCTTGTTGCCTGTTCTCTCTCTTCTCCAACAGCGGACTTCAGCACCTTCTGATTGTTACGTTGTCAACATGCTGATCCATCTCCTCTACAGCTTGTTGCGAAACCCCAAGCTATTCGAGCCTGCCCCAAGCCGCACCCATGGGCTGAAGACTTCTAAGGTCCGGCCGAGCCGACGCTTCATCTTAGAAACAAGTCTCGACCCGCGGAATCCTCGAAGCGTCGAATCCCAAAAGAGCTGAGAAGACAACGTGCGACCGAGCCTGCCACCGGAAGCCCTGGATCCGAAGCTCGAGGTGGAAGCTGCGAATCCTGCCGTGTGCCCGACAACACCCCCCCCCCCCACCGACACTCGCGCTCTAGATGTTCCTTCTGGCCCTGTCTGCAGCAAGGCGAACATTGCAATACAGTATAATGTAATTCAATATACTATACTAGACTAGACTATACTATACTACAATATACTACAATATACGATAATATTGCCTTGCGGAGTGCCGCGGTATGTTTCAATCTGCTGCAGTTGTTGACACTGTCGCTGCGTTTGTTTTGCCGTCTTGCCTTGGTGCTTTGGTTCTCCGTGATTCGCGCAATGAGCTCTGATCAGCCCAGGCAAAGGGGGAGAACTGGCCTGAAGCGCTGCACCTCTTCGGCAGCCTTGCTGGGGCGGCGTTGACGCCGGATGTTCTCAGCCTTTCTTGCTGAAGCTATGCTTATATATACATGTATACGATAGTATACTGTAAATACTAGGGTAGAAATCAAATGTAATACAATATACTATACCATATTATACTACACTACAATATAACATAATGTAATAATATAATATACCATACTCTAGGGGAGCTCGGATTTCGGAGTCTTGCCTCTGGCTAGTTAGCTAGTTGTCGTATGCTGGACTACCCCAACCTTCCAGGTACCTCCTATATAGGGCCCTATAGGGGCTCTAGCAGCTTATATAGTAGGTACCTGGGGGGTTGGGATTAGTTGCCCAAAGGGCAACAAATTTGGAGGTGGGATATCGAAGTGACCAGGGTGATAAACATGCTAGGAGTAGGCAGAAATAGCTACGCTAGCAACGACGTCTAGAGGTCTTCTAGTCAGGCAGTCGTGCGATGATTACCTGCTTGTTGCTTGACATGTCTGCGTCGACATTGCAGAAGGTGTAGTGAGAGAGAGAGAGAGAGAGAAAGAGAGAGAGAGCGAGAGAGAGAGAGAGAGAGAGAGAGACAGAGAGAGAGAGAAAGAGAGAGAAAAAGGGGCCATAGTCTGGCACTAGTGCCAGCAGCTTCAATCTGCATGTCTTATACAGCAAGCGCAATGACCCTGAGATGGCACATCAAAGCGATTACGGTCACAGTCATAGGCATGTTCTGTAATGAAACGTTTCGTTGTGATGCATGGCAATTCTGCTGAGAAATGTAGTGTGTTCCGGTGGCATGGGTACCCAGGCTTTCCAATATTCCTTAACTAGGGAATATACCGTATACGATCATCGTAGAGATCCTAAAAAAAGAAGAAATATTGGAAGGTTTGGGTATAATCCAGACGTCAAGCTGCCAGACCCGAGGCTCCAACTCTGCATCAACGGATACTTCTGTTGGGATTTTGGTTTCCTATAGATCTCCGTTCCGTGTCAGCAACACTATAGCGCAAGCTCCTGGTCCTAATCTAAACAACGTTCAGGCTACAGCGCAGCTATCCACTCCTGCGACAAGGGCCATTGCTGGCAGTTGGCTTTGGGCCTCTTTGACCAAATGCTTCACGCCCAGGCGAAGTTCAGCACCCTGCATGTTCAGAAATTATATGCTCGTGTCTCATTGCTCTGCCTATCGTGGTGACCTATTTCAGATAGCCACAGCTTGGGATATTCCAGCTTCGCCAAAGGCGGGCAACCCTTTCCACATAGACGTATCGAGAATGTGCGGGGGCACGCAGGGTGGACGGCGGTACAACAGGAGGGTTAACGAGAATCTGCATCACGAAGACGTGAGCAACTCCTGCTTCCTGGCAGATAAAGCATGATGCCGTCAGCTACAACACGACCATCAGCACCTGCGAGAAGGCAGAGCAATGGCAGCTGGCATTGAGACTGTGCCCTGGGTCGTGATTTTTGCAAATGTGAGACCGAGATAAGCATAACTACCATGATTCGCGAAGTGCATGACAACGATATCATTGACACGTATGATGTGCATGTATGTTAGCACACCATTTAAATCTTGTGTGTCTGGGTGCGAGCCGATGTCCCCGCATTTGTTTGGATACCAAGACCTGTATACACAGATACATGTGTGTACACTGCACACACATCTGTGAATATGCATTCCTGCACAATTTTGAACACCCCCATGACCCACCTACACTTGTTTATCTTCTTGTTCATGAACAGTCGAGAATGCGTCAAGACACGGACAAAGCCGACATCTCAAACCCTTAGTTGGAGCTCACATATCAAAAATGGATGCTGTTGATTATTTCTCTAAGACGGTTTCCCCTTCAACAAATCAATCGCTTTCAATGCATAAAACCTTCTTCTTCCTAGGCGAGAATTACATCCGGGCATGTTCATGCGTATTCATGTAGAGCTGAGCTGTATGCAAGCATACACACGTGCAGAGATCGGCATGTAGACATGTCTGTCGGTCTACTAATCTTAGATACGTGCGTCTGTCTGTCTGTCTGTC